CAGAAAATAGCTATCGAAACGTCAAGGTAATTTCTCTACTAATTGGAATTTTCTCTTACAGCTTGAGCCTAAGTGTGTCGCAGGATACCCTCTAGATGATAGTTCTTGACTACTTTTTGATAAATAATTCGTTCTTATTGCGAAATAGGAGCACTATTTATCAATCTGTAATAGAAGACGTGAGGAAACTCCGTTTTTTTTTTAAGACAAAAATTTTCGAAGCGAAATACCCGAAAAGAAGTTTCTAAAAAAATGAATCCGCCTCAACAATATAGAACTTATCTACCAAAAACTTTAAGCTTGAAGAATTCTTGTTTATTTTACCTTTCTGAAAATGATAGACAAACTGCCAGTTCGCCGAGGTAAAGAGGCAGCTTGAGAATTCGCTTTGCTCTCCGGACTGCCCTGTCGGCCGGTTTGCTCCTCTTTATCAGGCCCGCCTACCACAGATAACTGCATTAAAAAAAAACCTGCGGCAATCGATAAACCACTTACCGCCTTGACCCAGGGACTTCTTCATCTGCAACGTGCTCACGCTCGAAGGGAACAAGTTTTTGCAAAGTTGGGAAAGCGGCGACTGAAACCGATCGGCGGCAGACGGAGGTCCAGGGGATTGCAGTACTAAAAACCAAAAAACCTAAGCAATCGCCGAACAAAACATTTAAAACCCTACATACAGTGCTCATACGAATCGTCATTATAGAGCAGATGCCCAGGCAGGGCGGTGTCTTGGAATTTGGGAATTTCCTGCCCGGATTTTTCAATGGCCGCCCAAATTGGACTGTTCGATCTCCACACCAGCGACTCTATCACAGTTTCTTCGATCTGAATATCAATCCAATCACTTACGGGCTCTACGGGTCAAGCATGAACTTACCCTATTCAGATGCTTGATCAACTCTCGAAACAGCGAGTCTTTGGATCGGACGATTAATTCGATCACTTTAACGAAGTGAATTGGTTCAACATTGACGGCGTCCAAAATCCAGGGAAACTTTTTGGGGAAATTGTAACAGTAGAGAACAATTTCCAGACAGCATGTGAACATCGACTGGTAGAAAATATCCTTGTCAACCAGCGCCTGAAAGTAATACACAGATAAATGCATTGTTGGAATCAAAGTGTTGGACTGAGCATACGGAGAGATCTGGAGTGATCGTTTTCTCTTTGTTGAGAATCATTTCGACTGATTTGTAAAACAACGTGGTGGCCAAGACTGCTCGGTTTTGGCCCTCTTCCAGCGCAAACCCATTAGCAGCATAGGCGGTGAGAAACAACGTTTTTATTTTGGAGAGAATTGCCTCGATCTTCGAAAGCGGGTCTTTTTTGGTGGACCTTCAAGAATTTCCGGATTGAGCCAATGTTAGGAGCACCAATAATCAATTAATTCTCACTGGAAAAGTTTCTTCAGTTCTTCGCTAGGGTGTGGCAGCCGGTTGCCTTTGCCCAGCATTGTGTGCAATCCGGCCACTCGTTCTGAGGTTGATTTGCCGGACGAATCGCTCTCTCGCGGCCCCAAAAACCGTCTACCAGTAAGGGGAGTATCCAACCCCTTGGGGTTGCCCTGAAACACCAGCAGTTAATTGCCTAAAAAGTTGAGGGTCAATGTTACACTTACAGCAACTTTGGGCGATTCCATCAGAGTCGCATCAGCTGCAAAAAAATTGTTTGAGTGAAGCAAATCTAATTGATTCAACTTACCAGAATCGCCCGGTGGCAGCACCTTCATTGAGGTCCAGTTTTGAGAGTTCTGCTCCTTCTCCAACAGCATGCGCTTGAATTCGGCTAGAAAAAGGGTTCAAAGTCAAGAAGGCTCTTGGCAGTTGCAGCCTGCGGCTGCAAGAGCTTACCCATGAAGATGCGCTCGTCAAAGTCGCCTTCACTCAACAAGTGAGTTTCGTACGCCTTCTTAATGCTCCGGTAGTTCTGATCGAAGTTTTCCGGATCGAAGATCCCACTGAAATCGATTTCGTCCGCGATTAAGACATTGGAGTCGACCAATTTCGACACCAGCTGCTTGAATGTGTATATTTTCATGTGCAAGGCCTCCTTAACAACCGAGTCGTATTTGCAGAATCTGGAAAGAGCAGCACGTTAATCGTTTGTTGCCCGGCTAAAGCATGGGGCTACCTTTTAACAAAGCACGGCGTTTCCTTGGTCGTTCTGCCATCTTGCATATAGACGCAGTGCGACAATTCCTCCACTACTTTCTCATTGAGCAAGTCGTTCCTTTCAGCTGCTAACACGTTCTTAAACGCCAAGTCTATGCAGCAGTAGAGCAAATGGCACGCGTTGATCAGCTCTTTACTACACGACGCTTCCTCGGCTTTCAATATGATGAACATATTCCAAACGAACTCAAAGATTTTCAGTGATGTACAAGGAATTGCCCTGCAAAAATGCAACGTTAGCCAATGGAACCATTGATTTTACAAATTAGGCCAACCTGTTTCGCCTGTTTCTGTGCTTTGCGGCCTCCAGGTCTTGTGCGTTGGGAACGGGCGCAATAAACACTTCCGAAAAAAGCGGGTGGTACGTTTTGAAGGCGTTGTAGGCGATGCTGAAGTTGTTCCGCAAATTCTCGATTTTGGTGCGGAACTCATCAGGCAATTGGGCCAGTTCCGACCAACGGGTGATGTTCGAGAAAAACTGCACAAAGCTGCAAAGGATCATTACTTCTTCGGCGCCACAATCATATTCTACTGTTACCTCAAGTTGCTGTGCCTTAAAAGGCTTGTCAGGTTTATTCCCATTCCTTTCACTACTGACGATTTGTCCACTGTGGGCGTTTCCACTCCTCGAGAGGCAACGTAGATCGCACATCCCAACCAGTGTATTTTCTCACCCTGCAATAAAACTCTCTAATTGCTGAAATGACTTCTGTGTCCATTAGAGGTATGAAAATACCCAGAACAATGTAATGAACACACTGCAGGACATACATGAGCCCTAAACGAGTAGGCATTTGTCCAATAAAACGGGGTAATTCAGGGCTAAAACGCACCCACGACGTACCTCTAAAACAAACTTCTTGCTGATGGATTCGTAAGTGTCCCAGGACGATGCAGTGATGGCAGAGTCAAGGTTCAGTTTGCTGCAGAGCTCCTGATGCAGTTGCAGCAATTCTACACCGGTATCATCCGACAGGACCATCCTGCTGCCCTTTGAATGGGCGATATCTGATAGCAAACGCGCACAAAGGCCCCAAACACGCGAGTCGAGTGCCACACTCTCGGGAATATGGTTACAAAACGCGGGAATTTGCACCTGCAATTTGCGCCATGATGTCCGATTTATCGAAAAATTGGCGCCAAAGCGATAGATTTACAATAAATGTTTAAGAATTTCGGAAATTTGTAAATAGAAATTCGCGGGTTTCTTTTTTTAACTTTATGCCTTGAGTTTTCGGTCAACTCCCGCATCAGCTGTCATAATATAACCTCTCTTTTCAGGCAGATTGTTCAAGCACTTTTGATTAGATTTGAACTTTGGTCATGATATGCTTGATTTAGGCAACTAGATTAATGGATTAGCTACCAAAATAATAGGGGAGAAAAGCGATTGAACGATAAATTGAATAATTCCCGCCAAAACCTTATTATTCAATTGCGTCAATCATTTGGGGTTTAAAACACGAGCCGATCGGGTCAGAAGCCTAAGCATTGCTCGTTGATTGGCTGGAATATGAACGCGACGGGTATACCTAATCCAGTCAAAGGAAATGTCACTTGAGAAAAAAGTTGCAAATCAAAGAGGAAATAGAAGTTAGAAGAAGACAGAAGTTTGATTTAGAAGAACTTAACGATGTGTTTTTTAACGTTACTCTATATATTATGTACACCAAATGGGGAGTTTTAATAATAGATAGTTGCTTAAGTTATTTTCCTATGTGCAATGTACAAATTTAATTAAAACAAATTATCAACAATTTTTTAATTTTAACGTAACAGGAAAAATAAAATTACTATTGTAAGAGTCAAGAAATATTAAGCAAAAGAATTGCTGGTATCTTCTGTTTCCACTTACTTTTTGTTTAACATGTCACACTAAGCAACACATGAAAATAATTGCCTTTTTACGCTATTCCAACAAAAGTGGAATACCAACAACGTAGTTCGACTTTTTAGTAGGTAGTACTATGTGAATTAATTTCATTATATCAGGCGTATAAAATACTAGGATTTGTAATCAGAAGTTTTAAAGATTTTAACAATAATACAACATTTTTTTATTACATTTTTAGTATTTAATGTCATAAGCACTCTTACTTGTTATTGCCACTTGGGTGATGTTTATTATATGTTTTACCGATAAATAAATCTATGGAATGTATTTACTAATTTGAAAACTATCCATATAAATGTATCGATGTATGTAAGGATATTCAATATACTGTCAAATATACAATAAACCAAACTTTTTAGGAGAATTATTTAATGGTTTAAGTTGCTTACTTAAATACTACGAATACAAAATCTAATACCTATTTAAGTTGATCAGAATAAATCATTTGAAAATTGTTATAAATTAAGAAATACTCATAATTACCACTGTCTTTCTTTGTGCTAATATAAAGGCAATGCTATTATTTTTGTTCCAACAAATTCAAACAATCCCTCTTAAAAAATTGAAAATTACTAGCCAAGAGCGTATAAAATTTACCTATGAACTTGTACTGTACGATACTATTTGTTTGTCATTTTTATCTAGAGCTTATATAAGGTTCGAAATGCACGAGGGAATGAAAAAAAAATGATTGGCGCACTCGCGGTTGTTTATCTCGACAAATTATAGAATAATTATCATCAAACAATAAACAAAACCACCTAATCGTCTTAACTCATTTGTAGAACTTGTCAACGATACGTTCGATAACAACTAACCGGTAGGCTTATTTGATTGGTTCGAATCGCCGCAATCGATAGAAGTGACAGGACGTGTCGAATACCTAGACGTTTGTGTGGAAAACAGCAGAACAAAGAGAGAGAACGTGCTGGCGGTATTGCTCTCCTTTACCAATTCTTCAATTTTATTTTAAATAAAATATTTCTTTAAAAACATGCAACAATTGACCGAATTGACGCAAATGAAATGTTCAATTATAATTTACAAGCTGTTTCAATGAATACTTGCTGAGAGCAACTGGTTTATTTTGCAGCATTTATTTAACTTCGTTAAAAAAATCTAATCAACTTTCTAGGACTGAAAACAGGAGATAAATGCAGAAATACAGTGGAACAATGCTCTTAAACTTGAAAACATATTTTGCTGGATGATAAAGCGTAGGAGGGAGGAAATGGGGCTTGATAAGGGGCTAAAAACCCAATCAAATCTTTGGGAGTTGTCGAACACTCGGCTACGTTGTTCAGAGGGTAACGGAACTCAGCATTTGAACAGAAAATGTTTGCATCGCTTATTTTCTGTTTGTTTCTACTGGATTTTAATTTTTTTGTTAACAGTGAACTCTACAAATCTAATTCGACTGGTAAGTAGATAGAAGTGGATAAAAATATTCATTAAAATAACGCGATTTTGCACCCAAAGAGTTCGTTATTCTTCTAAAAAATGTGTGAAAGTGCCTCCAAAAGGGCTATAAATCTTCAGTTCTCATAAAGTTTACAAGTTGAAAAACGCGATTTCTTCACTAAAATCGCACTTCCAGCCGGGAAATGCCAAAAATCTGTAAATTGAATCTTCTTCTAAAAGAAAATCGGCATTTTTCTGCTGAGTACCTGAGCATTTTTTCGAATTTCTGAAAAATTGTTGTTCCACTTTCGTTCCAAACCATAAATTTTTTTTCTCAGATTTGTCCAAATGTACAATATCTTACTCAAGATCTGGCAGTGTTTATAAAGACTTCTACCCACTTTCTGTCCACGAAAATGCCTCACTAACTGTGGATTTTCACTTCGCTGTGCTAGCGGCTAGTGATGCTCATATTCTTCTCGCTGAAACAGGTAAAGTTGGAATTAAAGCATTGAAATCTGCCGGAAGCAAAGATTTGTCCTTCTCCAAGACCTTCGTTCTATATTTATGGATTTCAGTGAATATCAGTAAAAAGGACCCTGCATACGAAATCGTTATCGGTGCAGGAGGAAACACGTTTTGCGATATCAGGAGAATGCAAAAATCCGATGTCAGACATTCGGTTCGAACCAAAGCGCTTCTTTCCGCACTGGATCCTCATTACTTTTGGCTGCACATCACGCAAGGTGATTGGTGTTAATCAAAATTAATTCCTGGGTTTCACTCATTTATTGTCTCTATTTATCAATTAAAATACGTTTCGGTGTATTTTTCCACCATCATCAGTTTTTATCATATCATATCAGTATTTTATAAATCTGTCAGAGTTAATACACTGAATGTTCATGGTATGTTCAGGGAATATACATACATATATGTAACGAAAGAAAAACGATACTTTATTTTTTGTTATTAGTTTATAAACATATTTAAGTATTTACTGATGTAATTTTTCAACAACAAGAGTTACTTGCAACTAATCTAAAACTAATTAAATGGATAATAAATAAATTAAAATATAACTTATAACTACGGACTAAAAATCGAAATTAACATTTTCAGCATTTTTGCCGTTGTCGCGATGATGTGTGACTGTGAGATAAAACACAAACCTTGATCTAAAAAACTGCACTTATTATTTTATATTGCTTACATGTTCCCGCTCTGTGGCTTTTGCCCTTTCATTTTGTTCTCGATCAATTAAAGTGTTTCGCAATGTGCTCTAAACAAAAATTCTATAAGCAATTACAAATTTGAATATTGGTCACAACAACAAAATACAGTTAGTAGTTTTACATTGATAGAAGAGTATTTTCGTTCATCCACAGAATATTCTATTGTGTAGAAATACAGTTTGGTATAGCAATTTGTATTGATACACTACTTTCATTTTACTTTTGTTGCTTTCCTTCGATCCAAGAAAACATGCTTATCGCAAAATAGAAAGCAACCAAAATTAAACTGGTAAAAATAAAAAA